GCGGTTGGAACCAAAGATCTCAAATTTGGACTCATCAGACCAAAGCACAGATTTCCACTGGTCTAATGTCCATTCCTTGTGTTTCTTGGCCCAAACAAATCTCTTCTGCTTGTTGCCTCTCCTTAGCAGTGGTTTCCTAGCAGCTATTTGACCATGAAGGCCTGTGATAGTCTGGCGGCCTGTCCAGGGTGTACCCTGCCTCTCACCCGATGTCAGCTGGGATAGGCTCCAGCCCCCCCGCGACCCTCAAGAGGATGAAGCGGTTAGAAGATGAATGAATAAATGAATGAATGAATAAAACATTGTACACTTAGTTACACTACACTGCATTGTTGTGCATGTGTGTGTGTGTGTGTGTGTGTGTGCGTGTAAGAACAGCCATTAATCGCACAATTTAAATGTGAAAACACTCATTGACTGACCGTCAGCTGTTTGTATGCGGAGAGGGAGAGGGGCGGAGGGAGCGTGGCTGTGGAAACGTCCTGCTGTCCGAGATACTGTCATGCGTTTGAAGTTTAGAGAGCAAGCCCAAATGAGCCCAAAAAAATGCAACCCGTGACTACCAATATTTGTAAGCGACTTTACAAAAAGACAAGCCCAAAGTCGCGGATCTGACAAACCTGCTTGTGAATACCCGCCCTACTCTGCCTCTGATTGGTTTATGATGAAATTTTACTCTCCCTAAGCCAATCATCATCACTTATGCTTCTCCCTCACCTGCCCACACCTAGCCTCGTGTCACCAGACTCTTCACATAAAGTGAAGAGCCTGGTATTTATTTACTCTGAATTTTGTCTGGATTCTGGTTCCGGTCTAGAGAGCGGATGCGGTATTCACCAAATTCACCAAACTAAAAGTGTTCACCAAAGTAAAACTTTAAATTCTGGCTCACCATCGATTTGGGGTGATGAGGGGTGTAAGAACATCGATTAACTTAATGGCTTGGGGCTTTTCTTGTAAATTATATTCTTTAAATTAAAATTTTTTTCTTTTTTTTTATTAGCTTGGTGCTTTTATTTTTATGGAAAGGCTCATCTATCGAATTCCGGATCCTGTCTCACTCGCCCTGGTTCCGGTTCCTTACCAAAACGGCCACTAACGGCCCCAGACTAGCCCACACCAAAGAAGAAACACTTTCGAGCTCCACTGAGAAGCAGCTGGTCTGAGTGAAAGCAGCTTCAGTGAACTCAAGTAAAGCCGACTAACGGCGCATTTTATTGTGAGTACCCATAACGGCGTTATAATGGGGGAGACAGTAACTTTTTTTGATTACTCGTTACTGAAAAAAGTAGCGCCGTTAGTAACGCCGTTATTTATAACGTTATTCCCATCACTGCTCAGGAGGCTTCTACAACAAGCTCATTTTGTTTGCATACACATGGACATTTGGTGACCTGGGGCCTTAATTCTTACTTTCCTTGACAACTCCTCTCTGTCCATCTGTCTCTCTGTTTGTCTCCACTGCAGAGAAACTGTCAGTCCCTGGGTGGAAACCTTGCGTCTGTTCACAACATCCAGGAGTACCAAGCCATTCAGGATGTGATTTTCAGAGCCACTCATTCGACTACACTGACATGGATTGGAGGCTCTGATGCACAAGAGGTATTTTTTTCATCATTGCACAACTTGGAAATATTGCACACCAAATACATATCTTACTATATAATGACGAAAACCCTGTCAGTGTGTGTGTGTGTGTGTGTGTTCCACGTTTTTCTCCTCACTGACAGGATGCCTCAAGGTGACTGGAGAAATTTAACTCTAATTGGCAACTGGGTGGCGCTATAACAACAGGAAAACGCATATAATTACATTTTACACTACATTATATATCTATTATATTTCAGTTTAATGTGAGCAAACATTATCATTACAATCATTTATCATTATGGTCAAGCTGTTATAAAAGATGGTATTGCATCACTCTTACATGAACTATACTTTTGTGACTTTGCAGTGACTAATCACACCACTATGTCACTTCACTTGAGACAGTATGTACAGGGTACTGTGGGCACAGGTGTCTTGTAATTTTGGTGTGAATTGCCTTTGTATAGTTTGTTGTTTCTATTTATATTCTTGGTTTTATTTATAGAATCTTTTTTTTTTTTTTTTTTCTTTTTTCCCACATTTTCCTCCTTTAATTTTATGTAATATTTTGTTTTACTCTTTCTTCCAGGAGCATTACTGGCTCTGGAGTGATGGCACATCTTTCAGCTACCAGAGATGGTGTCATGGACAGCCTACTAACTATGGCGGCACGGAGCATTGTCTGCAGATGAATTACTCAGGTAAAACAACATAGTGCTAACTGTAGCAGTGATGCTAATGATAAAATAGGAAGGAATACAGTGAGTTAACTCAGAAATATATCGTGCTGACATCTTCTGGTCAGTTGGTTGATGTGCTCTTGCCCCTCCAAATTCTCATTGGTCAGACAGTCACTGGTGTTACTGTCATAAGACTGTGTGTCGACCAAAGCATTTTTATGGCTCTGTGCCAGCAATAGCCACATAATTAAGAGCCGACCACTTTGAGTGACAGACTGTCTGCTGATAGCGTCCTCGGCCTCTCAGTCAGATCCACGTACCCCTCACTCACACAGCGCCAGCCTCTTGCCCAACTATGTTCACCTCTGGCTCCAAAAAACCAAGATGGTGACGGCTGATGTGTCAAACATGAGGCTTCAAAACCACAAACAAGTGGGTGACGTCAATGTAGCCACGTCCATTCTTTCTACAGTCCATGGTAAAAACTGACGAGGGCAGCGTTTTACCCAAAGTTAAACATTTTTCAAATCTCTGTGACCAGACAGAAAACAGCAACATGCATGGCTTAGTGAAGAAAAGTGAAGACGCTCAGGGCCTCATAATGACACTGAGGTTTGTAGCAGAGTGTAAACACACAACACTCCTGAGTCTCATTACAGCGCTGGCCTCAGAAAAAACAAGCATGAATTCACGATAGCTGCAACCTCCACACCGAATTTCAGCCTCCTAGGACAAAAACTGTGACCACCAAACAGTGGAGACATTTTGTGAAACCGACAGAGCGAGATAGAGCTGCTGGTCGCAGCTTCAAAATGCTTTGGATGACACACAACACTGCCAGGTAGATTTAGTTCATCTAGAGATAACATGAAGATTTTCTTCCCAGCGACCAATCAGCTGGCTGAAGAATAAGATGAGTTTAGTTGACCAAGATTTTCTTTGACTGACAGCAGCCCTCTCCAATTAATAAAGTTCAATTTTTATTGTTAAAATTATTCATGATGGCTTTCAGACAAACAGCTCAGACATAAATGTCTTGAGCAAAGAACTTCTTTCTGAGTCAGATATTCTTTGGTTTTATCAGATCACTTGGTGGTTAGCAGTTCACAGTATTACACCATTTATGTTTTGACAATGATTTGTATCTTATCAGTGGCCATAGTGTTGTGTCACCTAAATATATCAGTTAGGAGTCACTGATCACATCAACAGTCTGAGGTCTTTGTTTGTGTCACATTCACTGACTCAACAAACTCTTTATTTCTTTGCTTGCAGATCAAAAGTGCTGGAATGACGAAATATGCTCCAACAACTTCCCATCTGTCTGTGTCAGGAAGAGAAGATGATTCCAGGTCTGACACAGAGACATGAAGAACCCATTGTGTTGCGTGCATGCTTTCATATACATCTTTCTTTACACCCTCAGTCTCACATGTGAGCTGAGTTTTTCTTTGCTATCGCTGTAACGCTACTGAAGGAATGAAGCTACAAGTGACATTAACAGGAGCTGGATTGTCTCTGAGGCCTTGTGCCTTTAATGAGAGCAGACTGAATGTGTTATGAAAAGAATGCTTTTAGCACTCCTTCACATATATTCTGCAAAGTAAACTCTTCTTTCTTGTCTTATGCAAAATTAAAGGCTCAAGCATCCAAACAAACTGGTCTGTGTTTTGTCTCCTGTCTTTATCAGAGATGTCTCGATCCTCCAGGCTGATCCAAACATAGTTTAATGGTTTTCTGTCAGCGAAAAGAAAACAGCTAAATCCTTTCCTTACTGAAATCTGCAGTTTTGTCCTCCTCAGCTTGCTTTTGCTGCAACAAGACTCTCCTATATGACAGCATACACTGCAGCAGTTCACTGCATATGCAAGTTAAAATGAGTGTTTGGGTGCAGAGAGTTTAGACACTGAGGTTAGAAAAATGCTCTGACTTTTTAAACTCAGTGAGCAATAGACCCAACACTCATGCATTCCTCAAACCTGACACTGTTTCATGTGCACGCATCATTGAGCTGGGTTTACATCTGTCTCAGACAACCTTTTATTCAAGAAGCAAAAGTCTCCCGTTGTGACCAGAGATGCAGTGGTGTCATGGAGGATATACACAAGCACACCAGGTATACCTTTTTATTGTCATGGTGTTTACACGATACCACCTATCAACCAACTAAATTCTTTGACCAGCTTAAAACATTCCTTCATATCTGTGAGCATGAGGACTGTATGGAGTCAAACTTTAATGGTAAAGAAAAAAATGGAGGAGTAAAACGAAAGGTATATGTATATGTGTATATATATATATATATATATATATATACACATATATAATGAGTGGCAGCTAATGTTAACTTTTAAATATGAATAATAATAATTAATTGAAAAGTACATCTGAAGAACGATCAGTTTTTTATTTTAATTTTCCTTGTGAGAACAAACAAATTCCACCAGCGGTCTAAACCTGTAATACGAGTCATGTACAGATTCAAAACAGTAAAAACACTTGACTTACTGGAAATAAATTGGTAGTTTAAAGCTGCTGTATCAACATATTCTTTATTTAACAATGGATTAAATGTTTAATTTTAGATGAAAGAGGTTGCTCATGGTGACGATCCCACAGGAAATACTTACCTGACTCTGCAGTTTAGCTTTATGGAGCATTTCAGTCACAGTAACATGACAATGACAGTTATGTTGTTTTTCATTAACTTTTAGGACCACTGACTCTGCTACATTTGATTCTGCAGATTTATCTGGCGTGAAACATTTTTGTGAAAGAAACTTGTCTATAAACAGAGGTAGATGTTATACAGTAATTCAGGGGCTTTGACTATGCCTATGATAGTCCTGAACAGGTGGCCTTCGTTCAGTTGAGACACGCACAGAGAATAGCTTTTAATTGAACTGCAGTAAACGCTTCAGTATTCATGTTCCAGGGTCATGTTATATTTGTGTTAAGAAATATGAGCGTAGAAATCTTTAAGCTCTTCCAGTTCAGTATTCTATGTACTGTGTGTTCAAGACTGTGGTGAGACAGATCATGCAATGTCCAGTAAGTCCCGCCCCTGTCATGAACTCTTTGGGAGCGTTCTTATTTGCATACCTGTTCTTTTTACCCTTCGTAGGTGCTGTATGTCCTGTTGCATGCAGGATGCATACAGTCAGGGCAGACTACTGTCTCATAACATTACGCCCTGAACTTTGACCTTCTTGCTCATACTGTATATCCATTACCTTGAACAACCTGGGGAGCTCTGGATCCAGGGTGGGCTGTTGTAACTCTGTGACGTATGAAGTTTAACTCATAACTGCATACATTGTAGATTCTGACATTATGTTCACAACAGTAAAATACAATTTGCATTTCCCTACCAGTGCTGTTTTCATCGGTATGTCCTTTTGTTGTGTTGGTAATCTTTATGATTTTTTTTGTTCACCTAAACAATTAATATTGCTGTTGTTATGATTTGACTGGGCATCAGTTAGTAGAACATGCTGGTATTTCTGGCATACTGCATTTGACATACTATATTTTGGGACAAACCAAATCTTTTTCTGGCATACTAAATAGTATGGCAGTATGGGTACTGTGTGTGGCTGTAGCTCTTTAGTGACCAAGTTAATGGTAAAAACAAACAAACACAGGAGCTAAATGTTGAGAGCAAAGCAGAAATGAGATGTCGAACACCACGTTGATCAGTTTGTGAGTGCCCTCCAGGAAGCTCATTAAGTTCTCTTATTAAGTTAATGTAACCTTCATTATATCAACTGGGAACTGGGAAACCAGAGAAAGACACCAGTGTGGCTCCACGAGTGACGTATTTCATCCTGCACGACCACATGGAGTCCATCTCTGTTTTATCAGTTTGTTCATGTTAGCAATAAGTCGTTTTCTTACTATACTCAAACAGAAACTATATGAAAGAGTCTGCTAGATAATACAATGTTACATAGATATTTATAGATCAGATAATATTAACATATCATAGTTCTATCTCCACTGACATAATAGTATGAAAATAACTGACAGTACGACAGCAATAATAGCAAGTGTGTTGCTCCAAATCCAGCTAGAAGAGAGCAGTTCCATGAAGTAATCATCTGAAATGATAAAACACAGAACAGAATGACACGTTTTAATCAAACCAGACCCAAACTGTGTAAACCAGTGACGATATATTTTATTCAGGAAGAACTCTTTGTAACCTGGAACCTGGATGTGTGTCTCTGTGGTCTGGTTGATGTTCCTCTGTTGGACTCTACAGGTGAAGCTGTTGCTGTGTCTCTTCTCCACAGTCACTCTGCTGCTGACAGTATAGAGGTCATCAGGACCTCTGACTGTCTCTGTAGGTCCAGCAGAGAGGAGCTTTCCCTCACCGTCCAGCCACAACACCTCAGGCTCTGGATACCAGCCTGCAGACTCACACTGTAACACCACACTTCCATTGTAATATGATCTGATCTCTATGATGGACGTGGAGACAGCACCTGATGATGAGAGAGGAGTATGTCACTGTTGGAGCGATGGTGTTTTTATTGAACTGGGCTGCAGAAGAAAGACACAGTTTGGTTCTGTATGACCAGAGAAAACAGAGATAAAAGGGCTGTGGTATTTGCTTTTGCTCAAGAGATATAAAACCTACAACACCAGACTGATAAATGCTCCAGAGCTTTGGTGTTATTCCTCAGGAAAAAATATGGTGGCCTGCTGGTAGCAAACAATTTCACTGGAAACACAGCAATGGGTTGCCACAAAGCCCCCCCATGTTTGGTGCCTTAAAGCTGCTGAAAACATCAATGGGTTACTACAAAATACCTTAAAAGCTGCTCAAAATTCAACGATGTGTGCTAAACAAAACTGCAAAGGGTTGTTAAAAAACACCCACATTTGATGCCTAATTATCCACTGGAAAAACAGTGACGGGTAGCTACGAAACACCAACTTTTGATGCCTAAGAAGCTGCTTGAAAAATAGTGATGGGTCACTCCTAACTCCTCCTCCTCTGACTTTATATTGCAGCTGCTGCACAGCAATTTCCTTTGATTTCAATCAAGTTCTATCATATCCTTTCTGTCTTGTCTAAAAAGCTCCTAAAAAAACACCCACATTTGTGCCTCAAAAGCTGTTGGAAATTCAGTGACAGGTGCTGAAGGTGCACTGCATTTAATGTATTATTATTTACCTGCCTGTTGCCTTTTATTATGATTTATGATTTACAAGCTCTTATTTACCTGTGGGCACTTGAACGCCACACCGACGAGCCCGGTACACTTGGCAGACTTTGCGGGTGCTCCACGTTTCTAAGCAACATTCTGCTATCGGAAGGACTCGTGTTTATGTTTGATCCTTGCTGTGGCTGTGAGACCTGACTGAGAGATATTTTCCTGTGTTCACGACCAGATACTGTATATGCCAATAAAGCAGCATCAGAGTCTGGCACTGACTGTCCCTGTCATCTGTGAAACTACACAACGCATGTGATAGTACCAAACGGCTACACTAGCTGATGCATAAAAAGCCACTGGTAAAACAGTGACTGGTTGCTACAAAACGGCCACGTTTGTGCCTTAAAAGCTGCTCAAATTCAGTGATGGCCGCTGAAAAAGCTGGAGAAAAATGGCAAAGTGCTGTTACAAAACATCCCTAAAAAGCCACTGGGAAAAAAAAGATTGATGTTTAAAAAGCTGCTGGAAGAACAAAAATGGGTCGCTCTATTTCTGCTCAAACTGTGTGCTCGCACTCAGACACCATGTTGCTTGCACAGATTTCCTGCTCCAGCTTCAGCTCTTCTCCCCGCGCTCAATCTGCTTCTGTGCGCTAGTCACCATTGGCTTCAGTCAGCGTCTACATGAACCCACTCACTGTTTTAACCATACCCTCGATCTAGTTCTGACGTATAGAATTGAAATTGATAACCTAACAGTCTTTCCACAGAATCCTTTTCTATCTGATCATTATTTGATTACTTTTGATTTCTTTTTACTCTATTACACGCCACTCAGCAACATTTACTATTCTAGATGTTTATCAGATAGTGCTGTCTCAAAATTTAAGGAAATGATTTCTCCTTCGTTAAATTTAATACCAAGTCCCTCAGTAACAGAGGTTTCCTGTACCGACTTTGATCATTTTGTCGATAGTGCCGTAGGCTCGCTGCGAACAACACTTGACTCTGTAACTCCTCTTAAAAAGAAGTTAACAAAGCAAAGAAAGTTCGCTCCTTGGTATAACTCTCATACCCGTAAATTAAAACAAATATCGCGAAAATTTGAAAGGAATTGGTGATTAACCAAACTGGAAGAATCTCGTTTAATCTGGGCAGACAGTCTCAGAACTTATAAGAGGGGCCTCCGCAATGCCAGAGCAAACTATTACTCAGCATTAATAGAAGAAAACAAGAACAACCCCAGGTTTCTTTTCAGCACTGTAGCCAGGCTGACTGAGAGTCAAAGCTCTATTGAGCCTTGTATTCCTTTAGCCCTTAGCAGTAATGATTTTATGAGCTTTTTTAATGACAAAATTCTAACTATTAGAGGCAAAATTCATGACCTCCTGCCCTCAGATGGTAGGCCTACCTATCTAACCTCAAACACAGCTGTAGAATCTAATATATATTTAGATTGCTTCTCCCCAATTTCTCTTCAAGAATTGACCGCAG